CTTGTCATCAGGGAAATGCAAATCAAAACTACCATGAGATACCATCTTACACCAGTGAGAATGGCACATATTAAAAAAACTAGCAACAACAAATGTTGGCAAGGATGTGGAGAAAAAGGAACTCTCCTGCACTGTTGGTGGGAGTACGAACTAGTCCAACCACTATGGAGAGCTGTGTGGAGATTTCTGGACCTACTAAACATAGAGCTTCCATAGGATCCAGCAATTACACTCCTAGGTATTTACCCAAAGGACACAGAAACATCAATTCCAAAGAGCACCTGCACCCCTATGTTTATAGCAGCACTGTTTACAATAGCTAAGCTTTGGAAACAACCCAAATGCCCAAAAATAGATGACTGGATCAAGAAGATGTGGTCCATATACACCATGGAATATTACTCAGCATTCAAAAAAGATAAACACATGCAATTTGCAGCAACATGGATGGCACTGGAAGGGATCATGCTCAGCGAAATAAGCCAGAAAGAAAAAGAAAAATACCGGATGGTCTCACTCATAGCAGGAATCTAGAAAACTTAAATAAGGGACCAGGAAAATGAATAACTATAAGAAAGTGAAAATCAAAATCGACAAAAAACTATGAACCAGAGACATTCTATGGGGGGTGGGCGGCGGGAAGGGGAGGGATTAGGGTCAAAATGGGGGGGTTGCAATTGTATGGGGAATATAAAAATAAAATTTATTTAAAAAAAAAAAAGCATCAAGGCAGTTCTGTCCAGAGGAAGCTAGAGCTAGGGAGGAGGAGAGGGAAGGGAAAAGAGCTGAACTTTTCTCTTCCCATCCTCTAACCTCCTACCAAGGCTTCCTTCAGAGGATCCAACTGGTACCAGAGCCAGCAGGGCTGGCCCCCTGCCACAGACAGAGCAGGGAAGTGCAGGGAGTAGACTTGAGGGCAAATACATCCAGGACAGACTTATTCACTGTGCACAAGACTGCGAACTTCAGCTTCACAACAACCTACAAGAAAAATTTATTGTCCTAACTTTGTGAATGGGGATGCTGGGATTCAGAGAATTTAAATAGCTCACTCCAGCTTCAAATTCCATTCTCTGTTAGGTTTGTACTCTTAGGCTCAACACTTACTCCTTCTTTCCTCTCTGTATTGCCCCCAAATAGACAACCCCCATTAACAACCACTCGAAGGGAAGCTCTTGTGGAAGGAAAAGAGCAGACTCAACCACCATTTGGCCACCATCCAAAATATATAAACAACTTGTACAACTCAACAACAAAAACACATACAACCCCATTAAAAAATGGGCATAGGATCTAAATAGGCATTTCCCCAAAGAACACAAATAGCTGGCCAATAGATTCATGAAAAGATGTTCTACATCACTAATCATTAGAGAAATGCAAATCAAAACCACAATGAGATTGCACCTCATGGCTGTTAGAATGGCTAGTATCAAAAATCAGAAATAATAAATGTTGATGAGGATTTGGAGAAAAAGAAACCCTCATGTACTGTTAGTGGGAATGAATATTGGTGCAGCTGCTTTGGAAACAATATGGAGGTTCCTCAAAAAATTAAAACTAGATATACCATATGATCTAGTAATTCCACTTCTGGGTAATCACCAGAAAAATGTGAAAACCTGAATTCGAAGATGTATGTGCATACCTATGTTCACTGCAGCACTCTTTATGAGAGTCAAGACAGGAAAACAAACCAAGTTCCCAAAGACAGATGAGCAGATTAAGAAGATGTGGCATTTACACACAAGGGAACATTACTCAGTAATGAAAAAGATGAAATCTTGCCATTTTCAAGGACAAGGATGGACCTTGAGGGAATTATGTTAAGAGAAGTAAATCAAAAGGAGAAAGACAAATGCCCTATGATTTCATTCATGTGTGGAGTAAGAATAAAAGCAAAAGCAATTAAACAAAACAAGCACTAACTCTTAGACTCTGCCCAAAATTAGTGGGGGGTGGGGGGAGGGAGAAGCAAAGAAATAGATGGAGATTGGACATTTTGACTATAGGTGTGTGTGAAATATATACTTGCTGAAATAAGGAACAGTACACCTAAAACCTAATAAGTGTTGCAAACTGTTACCTCTATAAAAAGAAAAAAATACAAAAATCAAATTTACTACCAACAATTACTAAAATAAAATATAAAAAGTTACAGAAAACCAAAAATAAAAAAATCTGAATTTTGTTTGTAGTTCTAATGTATTATTTTAACTGCACAACGTTTACTCATTTAAAAAAAAAAAACTATAATAAAAAAGATGTTAAACTACGAAATACATTAGAAGTTGGACAATATTGCCCACTCTCCCACCACCCAAGAGTGGCTCATGTCCTGTCGTACGGACCATGCTCTCCCCATCCAGGGTAAAACAGGTCTGGGGGCAAACTGAACCCTGCTGTGTGGCCATGCTCAGGGAGCTGTGAATAGACCCCCGAGGGATGCCCAGTGGGGCCCTTAGGGAGGCCAGGGCCTACTCATGTCCTTCTTGGTTCTGGAAAAGACTCTTATGTCCCCCAGTTGCATAAAAGCCAAAGAATACCTCTGAACTGCCTAGCACCCCAGAACTTCTTGCCCATCTGAGACCTAAAGCAATGTAGGGGTCCTACCAGAAACAGAGACCCTGTCTTTTCAGAATCTTCATGAAGACCCTGGACTTCCAGTGAAAACCCAAGAGTGGGAATTTCCTGCATCCTGGCAGGAGGAGAATTTAGAGTCAGCTTTGATTTCAAGAAAATAAACAAAGATGTGTATTTTCACACATGAATTACGAATTGAAGTTCCTGCCCACTCAATTTGTTTAATGTCTGACTTCCCTAAGTCCCTGACAGCCAACACTGTCTGCCTTAACTCATGGCCCAATGCAGAGTGAAGACTCTGTCAATATTTGCTGAATAGAGTGAATGGGCAGTTTTGGAAGTCAAATCTTGGCAGAGCATTTCTCCATGTCCTATGCATAGCTCGGGAGGAACTGGTCCTGACTGTCCCCTAAACACTGCTGACACAGGAGCAGACGCAGCAAAACTGCGCGGGCGGTTTCTGTCCAGGCAGGCATTTCCTCCGTGATGAGGAATACCTCTGAAGCTGCCTCGCATCGCAAGGCTTCTTGCCCATCTTTTGAATTTTCAAGTGCCCCAAGCTATTGTGAGTGCATCGTATGTTTATATTCCAAGCAGCTTGAATCTGTGCCTTGCAAAAATACAAGTTGGAAAGTTAATTCATTCCTTTATGTCAAGGTAATTGCAATTTCACCCTAATCCTCTCTTGTCAAAGACATTTCTACAATGCAAGGAGTTATCTTTTACAAGAGACACTTCAAGGTGATTTAATAACAACACTTGCTATGAGTCACATTTTCCCTGTAGTCATCCACTCTTCAGCTTGGGAGAATGGGGTTCAAGTACGGAAGAGAGAAGGCATTTGGCTAGGCTCATAGCCTACTTACACACTCTCAGCTAAATGCACACCTTCAAGAAAAAAGAAAATCCTAATGAGCACTCATGTGGTAACTAAGGTGCTAAATGGATCTTTCAAAGCAATGCTATTTTTGTTTGTTGGCTTAAAGGCAACCTATATTCATTCAGTGCCCTGAAACTTCTTAAGACACTTAGGAATTTGATTACTATGGACAAAGAGGAAATTTAATATTGAGATCAATTATTAATTTGGCAAACGTTACTGAGCTCCTACCACTTACCATGAGCCAAGCACACTGACACACTGAGCTAGGGGCTGGCCTTTGGCAGCACATGAGGACTGTCTGCTAGCTGTCCTCACTGAGCTTGCAGCCTGCAGAGGAACAAGCCTCTCTCTTTGACTCTGGAAACCAGAAAATTGTCATTGAGATTTTTCTACCCTGTATGTATTTCTTTTAGGGTTTGGATTTTTCTGAGCTAACCAAATGCCCAGCTCACTGCACAGTAGGAAACATTTACACATGCTTCATAGCTCTTCATTCTCCTCTCATGCTACATCAGACCAAAGGGCAAAGAGATCCGACTGGACTGTGGCTAAGCTTTAGACTGGGACCTGAAGGGCCAGCATGCAGCCCAATTTTGAAAATTGGGCTGGATGGAAATAATTTTCCATCTCCCAGCCACAGCTTTGGATACAGCTCCCAATGCTAGCCTCCACCCAAGAGGAAATCGAGCTGAAAAAGAAATCTCAGGGGGAACTGTCTTTGAAAGGTTTTGTAGTGTGTCTCTCTACTCCCCAAAAATAAAAACTACATAAGCAAAATACTTTTTAAAATCAAGACTAGGCAATTAGGATGGGAGGACAATTTTGCCCAGTGCCACTTACTCCCACCTCCAGTTGGAATTTTCTGGGCATGCCAGCACTGGTGCTACTTGCTGTAGGCAGCTTCCCTACCCAAACTTATAAAAACTCACACTGGCTACTCCTCATAGAGCTCTTAACATGTCTCTTTCAACTGGATTTCTAAAACAAGGAACAATGTAATTGGCAGGTAAAGACAGGTTGACAGGATTGTCTTAACAGATACTGGTGCGTTTTCACTTCAGACTTTCCCCAGCCAAGATGTTCTATTCAGAAGAAAACCAATGCCTCTGAGCTATGCTGATCTGCCAAAATGCTGCAGAGCAGTGACCCAGACGGAAGGAGTCAAGTTTGCATTCTGATTAGAAAAAAATTTGATACTCTTACCCATGAGTGATGTCATATTTTGAATATGGTCATTTACAATATAAAATTACATGGAGTTTAGCCACCTAGAACATGTGGTGAATCGAAATGGGGCAGAAATGAATTAAATAGCCAGAAGTTTTAACAATTCATGCTAGACTTTTGAACAGTAGAAAACTAAGACAATGGCAGCTGCTCTGTGGTGACAATCATTCTTCTCCCAGTAACTGGCTCTCCTTGGTTGCATGGAATCCTTTGCCTTAACAACCACTGACAGAGGAGAGGGACTCTTGTGACAACAGAGCAGATCATTGGAACCTGGGGTTCTTGCTGCATTTCCTGTGGCCTGAGTGTCTGAGGCACCCTGTAAGTGGCCCAGGCAGCCCTCTGGGTGAGCCAGGTTTGGGTTTTCAAAACAGAAACAAAGAAAGACCTAGTGAGTCCCAGTGGTGTGATCACATTCTGTGCTCCTTAGCACTCTACTCATACTCGTGGCCCCAGCCCCACACACACACTGCTGGCAGAAGGATAATCTATGGCATTTGGGGACCTTGGTCTAACAAACTTAGAATGACCCAATCTTGGGCCTCCTTGGTGGTGCAAGAGGTTGAGCAAAGCACTCTGAAGCTATCCGTAGCCTCTGCAGCAAGAGTTCGATCCCCTGGCCAGCCAGGGGACTACCCACATGAAGCAGCATACCTCTCCTTCCTGGCCAGCTGCTCCCTTCAGCAGTGTATTTCAGTCAGTCTGCCTGTTCTGTTTCCCACTCTGTCTCTGGTGAACCCTCTCACCCACCACACCTTAGGCCTATACCCCAGTTCTAAAAAAAAAAAAAAGACCCAATCCTGTTATTTATACACTGAGCAATATTTATTTACAACTAATCCCTTAATAAATCATGTTGGATCTCAATTACTGGGTCATATATTCTCTCCATGTCTAAGTTGGGCAGCCCCAAGAGTGGTGGTGCTTTGTCTAGTTGCACATTAGAATCACCTAGAAATTTTGAAAACGTGTGGGTGTCTGGCACCTTATCACTTAAGATTATAATTTAATTGTGCTGGGGGCAGGCATTGGTGGTGGTGTGTTTTTAAATGTGTGTGTTTTTAAATCTTTGCTAAGGTTCTTAATATTTCACCCAATTACTCCTAATTGTTCTTAGTGAGTGAGTAGATATAACCAATATCCCAGCCTGATTAACTGCAGTTTCTGTATTTCCTCCTTAATACTATTTAATAATTAACTATTTTCTTGTCCCACAGTTAGAACTCTGAAGATTAGAAGGAACTTTTTTGCCAAATGGAAGTCTGACATTTTTAATGAAAGTAAAATATACCAGCTATTCTTTGTGAAATTATTCTGAGAGATTTCTAAAAATTTCCCACAACATTGAAGGTTGGTGGTTTAGAGTATATTGACCCCCAAAAGGTAGGGTGTTTTGGGCTGTGGCCTATAGTTGTCTTGCCATCTTCTGAATATTACCTGCTGTCTTCCAATTTAACGGCCTTAAAAGTATTGACTCATCTGGCACATAGGGAGATGTGAAGTTGTACTTCCAAAATCATATAGCTATGATTAGAGTTACATTGGATTGTTGGAAAAGTCATGATGCGTTTTTGCATAGAAAACATAGGAAAAATATGTCATGACTCTCAACAAACCAAGTTATAGCTGACAAATTAATGAAATTTGGGTTAAAACAATATAAGGTGTATTTATGCTAGTTGGCATTTAACATCATATGAGCAGCAGTTTGAATCCTTTATTGCTTTGGTCATTGCCTATTTGATCTAATATAATTGATCTAATGCTTAATCTAACTAAAGGCTATACAGTAAACTATTTTACAAAAAAAAAGAATTGACTCATCAAGACAATCTGAATTGTCCAGCTTAACTGTAATCCAAATCTGGGCCATCAACATTTTGTTCTTTTGAACTTCAGAGAAATCTACTTTCAAATTTTGCCACATTCTCATTCTCTCCATTTAAGAAAGAAGAAACAAACTCACCATTATCTGGACTGCTTTTATCTTTTTATCTCAAGGGAATAAAGACAAAAAAATGCTTATGTTGTGGGGTCAGGGAAAGGAAACGGTGAGGACTGGATTCATTTCAGGCTTCCTACTAGCTTCTCAGTGACCTTTGAATATATGCCAACTCTTGATACTTATATTTATTACCTACTATGGAAGGGAAAAGGATGATCTCTGCCATTCAGAAATACCTCAAAACTTTTCCACCCAGAGTAAGAACACCAGGTCCCAGTTCTGAGACACTTCCCAGGCTGACATGGGCCTCCTAAGTTTTCACCACATGTTATCTACATTTCTACAAATTTCATTATTTTTTATTAGATTATTTTTTTTTATTAGATTAGGCTTGTTTCCTGTCCCCTTCCCATGAGGTCCTTCAGGGTTGAGGTTGCATCTTTTCTTCTTAATATTTCCATCTGATACATGAGGGCCCTCAAAATCATGGCAATGAATGAATGAACAAATGAACAAAGAATTGATTCCCCCAAAGCTACTGGCAGTAGTCCAATTGGAGGGCAAAAGACAAAGGTCAGGGGGCCTCCCCTGGTGGTGCAGCGGTTGAGCACTGGGTTGGGAAGCTGCCTGCAGCCTCTGCAGTGCCAGTTTGATGCCCGGCCACTGGCGAGGGTCCCATATAGTGCACAGACCTCTCCTGCCATGCCCGCTGCTCCCCTCAGCAGTGTATTTCGTTGGTCTGCCTGTTCTGCTCCCCGCTCTGGCTCTGGTGAATTCTGTCACCCTCCCATGCTTCTGACTGTACCCAGTGCTTGTATAAATAAATAAATAAATCTTTTAAAAAAAAACAAAGATCAGGGCCACAAGGGTCTTGAGCAGAAGCTGAACTGCAGAGATCGATTGCTAAGGCTTCTGCTTTTGTCTCCATTTGTCCACTGCTGTTTTGCAGTCAATATCAGTGGTTGTTGAATAAGATTCATTTATACATTATTTAGTAGATGCCATCAGTCAAATTCCCCATGATCATAGCCCAGCATTTTAAACTTGTCTCTTATCTGTAAACACATTTCCTGAGCTGCTCTATCTTTTCATCTTGTCTAGGTGATCTATAGCAATATCCCAGAACCTACCTACTTTTTCTTTAATCCCCTGATGGATTATAAATAACCTATTCTAAACCTTCACAAAGCTTTGAAGGCAAATTTCTGCTTTCTGAACTACTGTCAACCTCCCGTTCCACATTCAGCCTCTTCAGGAAACCACCCTCCTTCCCCAGGGCAGACACAAACGCCTTCTACACTTCTCTGCCCTCATGCTACAGTAACACTATGGCAACAACCAGACCAGCCAATATTTGGAACGACTGCTACGGATACACACATCACTCACTGCTTCAAACACTTATTAATGGAGGTGATTAAGGAAGTGAAATCTAGCATAAAAAAATGGCAGGGGAAGAAAGCCAGTGCAAGAAAACACAATAAGTGACTGGGGAAATGAGAGGCATGAGAAGAGATAGAAGGGAAACCGAGGAGTACAGAAATGAGGGCAGAAGAGAGAAATGAAAAACGGGGAGACACAGAGAGCCCCGGGCTTGCTTGCTTTGACTTCAAGGTACTGCTTCTATGAGAAAACACTCAAGTCAAATCACCTCTGAAATAAATGCTGTTGTAAGAGGCAAAGTGGCCTAAAAGAACTCAGCTCTCTGAAGGCTCATGGAACCGCTCTATTGTGCACCAATACCCAATTTCTCAAATTTCAGAGAAACTCCTCCAAGGCACAGAGTGGAGCCTGGGACCCACAGTATTCAAGGGCTCACTTTAATGAGCATCTCAGGAAATGCACTCAATATGGATGTGGTCTTCCAGATTCACTTCGTCCTCTGCTTTTCAAAGTCACTCACATGCAAACCGGAATCCTCCCCCTCCCCAGCTGCCTGTGGCTGCCTCAGAGGCCAGAGGGGAGCAGCCAGTCGACCCTGCTCTGGGCTCCCTTCTTTCTGTGCATTCATTTTCAATTTCCAGTTATAGCCTAATCCATTAAGAGGCACTTATTCTCAGCAAACCTCTTGAGCAAGCTCTCATTTCCCATTTCTCAGTGTAAACTCACTTTTACTTTCCAGTTCAAACATGTTGACACTAAAATAGGCAACTCACACCCTTCCTCATCACTGTACATTTACCTCTCCCGGCATCCATCTCAAGTTGACTTTCTGATGCTTCCACGCCATCAGAATCAGCCTTAGCTTTTCAGAATAGCTATGGGGTTTATTAGATGGGGTGGCAGCGAGTAAATCCAGTCTACATGGCCATTAGCAAAACTGCACGCAGGACAGCCTCAGCTTTCTGTGTGCATGCTTAAAAGGTCTTCTTAAACAGAACTATGATGCCCCTTTCAACCCCCATAAGGGAGTAAACCCTACTAGTTTGGAGGGAAAATCCTTTTCCGTGTCTTAGGGTCCAAGATCATACATCTGGAAGACAGAGAACTTTGCAAATATGTTTCCCAATGATTGGCACTTTGTGATCATATGTCCCTCTTCCCTAATGTCTTTTTACCATGTTCCAGACATTGTGCTAATTTTCTTGCATTATCTCATTTAATCCTCCCCCGAACTCCAGAATGATCCTTAAAATAGAAGTTAGCTGCTGACTCTCTCCAATGACGTCCTGTCTTTGCTAATAGCCACACAAACTGTGGTCTCTCTGGCAGTGTTTCCTACAAGCTACCCTTCGATAGAGTCTCCAGTCTAGCTGATCCTCCTACATGAGAAGATCCCTGCATCTCTTGAGAGTCACAGTGCTTGTACTTTCAACTCTCCTTACTCCCCTCCAGTATTACCTTCTCTATGGGACTTTCCTCAGCCATTCAATATACATGGCATACCACTCCCTCTCTATCTTCCACACTCAGTTTACATTTTCTCCATTCCACCTGTGCCTCCAACCTGTTACATATTTATTTATTGTCTCCCCCAATAGACTTTGTTTTGTTCTTTCTGAAACACTGAAACAGTATTCTCAACAAAACATTCTTGAATACATAAATGATTTAAGGTATTTTTTTTTTTAATAGAGGCATGTTTTATTTATTTATTTATTTGTTTGTTTGTTTGTTTTTGTTTATACAAGCACTGGGTACAGTCAGAAGCGCGGGAGGGTGAGAGAATTCACCAGAGCCAGAACGGGGAGCAGAACAGGCAGAAGGACCGAAGTACACTGCTGAGGGGAGCAGCGGGTGGCAGGAGAGGTCTGCGCGCCATGTGGGACCCTCCTCCGGTGGCCGGGGAGCAGCCGGGGATCGAACCGGCGCCGCAGAGACCGCGGGCAGCTTCGCAACCCAGCGCTCAACCGCTGCACCACCAGGGAGGCCCCAAGGTATTCTTATTATCTTCAGTTTACAGCTACGAAATAGGCTTGAGGTAGCTATTTAATTTTGTAAGGTCATAGAGTCAATATTGGGCAGAGCAGCACAACTGCTTCTAGGGGTATAGCAACCCCACCCCCCAGCTCAAAGTGCCTTTTCGGAAAATATTTTTGCTGGGCTCATTTATTTGGGGTTGATTTTGACTTCTAAAATAGGAAACAGAGATGGAAGATAATAAGCAAGAAATATGTGGGACGGTAGGCCTGGAACCTGCTATTCACACTCATTCTTCCTCCAAACTCATTTATCTGGTAGATTCTCTTCTCCTTGCTCTTGACAAGGACCAAATTCAATTCTTTCTAAGTACACACCATAGCATTCAAGTAACATGAACACCACATAGATTTTTCAACACCTTAAGGAACAATTTGATGTTACTGGTCAATGTTTTGAAATCATTTACCACATTTACTAGGTGACAGTTTTGAAGAAAAGGGAAAACATCAATCGAGTCAAGCCAACCCAAAATATATTAGAATCTTACACTTCTGTAGGGTTGATGTTGTGTTTTAGCTCCCTAACTAGCATTGAAATTGACCCATAATAGGCTTTCAAAAGATGTTTAATTAACAGATAAATGTCACTAGAAAAGAAATTTTATTTTTGTCTATGAGCAGATTTCATTACTGGCCATCTTGTTTAGGCCAACTAATTATATGAAAAAAAAATTGGTGTTATCTTAGAAATGAACTTGGGGAAGTAGGTGAGTAAATCACATTTCAGAGAAAGTCATAATCTCAATGGAAAGTTTAAAATACAGATGATAGATCGATAGATAGATAGATAGAGACATAGATACAGAGATAGATAGACAGACAGATACACACACATGCTAGTAGTAGAGTGGGAGCTCCACAACTACTAGAGAAAAACCTGGAGGAGAATATCTGTAGTGCTAAGCAGGAGGAGTACCTGAGGGTGGGATATGTGCTCTAAAATCTGTGTCAGCAGGACGGGTGGCTTCCCAACCATTAAATCACCCCAGAGGGAAGGACAAATAGTTGTGATTAATAAATGAGAAAGTTTAGTTAGGAAGCCATAAAGAGGCAGTATAAAGAAATCCAAGCTGACAATACATATCATCTCTTTCTTCTCTTCCCCTGTGCAGACCTCACAGGAAAATGGAACACAGCTAAGGAACAAAATTCCTTCCCTAGCTTCCTTGAGTCTGGACAGGATCTGGAATATCAGGGAGTAACTCCAGGTACCTAGTTTTTTCAGGTCAAGAAACTAAATTCCTCCTTGTCTAACCTCTAAGTTCCCTCCCTCTAATATTGAGGGAGGCCAGCCCTCCAAATAAGGAATCACTGGGCTGGCTTATCCCCATTCCTTTCAATGACATTCCTTCAGCGTAGGCTGGGCCTAATGACTTGCTTCTAGTGAACAGAATATGGAAAAGCTAGTGAATGGCACTTCCATGGTTAGATTATTTAAAAAAAACTGACTACCATCTTGCAAGCACACTCTCGCTCTTCCAGGTTTTGATAAAATATGCTCTCAGTTGTAGAAACCCACATGGCAAGAAATGGAGGATATTTTCCAACGAATAGCCTGAGAGGAACTGAATCCTTCCAACAGGCACTGAATGAACTTAGAAGTACATCATATACAAGTTGGACCTTGAGATGACTGTGGCCTAGCCAGTGTCTTGATTGTGACCTTGTGCTACAGGACCCAGCTGCATGTGTTTGGGTTCCACAGAAGCTGTGAGATAATTAGTTGCTTGAAGGTGCTAATTGTTCAGGTAATTTGTAACACAGCAATAGATAACTATGCAGTGGGAATGAAAATATTGTGGGGTGCACGTAGCAGAGGCTCATGCTGAACATGTCATGAGCACAGAAGCTTGAGGGCATAGAGAACTTAGATGCATCAGCCCTGTGGGGTGAGGGTGAGGGAGAGAATACAGGACTCCTACTTAACAATGCAAAACTGTCTATGCTATCTCCAGCTCAGCCCCAACCACCACCCTTGCTGCCCATTTATCCAGAAAATTAAGCCCAAGTTTCCTAGTCTGGCAACAAGGACGACAAGGATGGCCATTATCTGGCTGCTGCCTAATTCTCCAGTTTTATCTCCTGTTTCCCCTCACCAGCATCCCATCTTGAGTCATATCAAAGTAGATGTAGTTGCCCTAATTGTTTTATGTTTCCCCATGTTCATATGGACCGCCCTTCCTAGAATGCCTTCCTGCACAGGCTCCGTTACAGATTTCATTTGTGCTTTATGGAACCCCATGCAAATCCCTATACCTGACCATAAGAGATTCTTCATGTCCCACATTTCTGGGTCCTGCAACTTTTGATTTTCTTGTCTAGCACTTTATCTAGCACTAAGCTTTATTTTGATCCTCTCCTTTAATTTGGCATCCTAAGTGTTAGTACATAGCCTGGAAAATCACTTCAGTCAACAATGGATGAAAGGATAACCATGGGATGGGGACCTGCCAGGAAGATAAACAATTACATATTGGTTTGGGTGCAATTTATATTATGCTATTTAAATAATAGGCTGCTTACAGTAAAAAGACCTGTACTTAGGAAGTCAAGGGCATACAAAATCAAAAGTCTTACAAGAGGCTGAAAAAGCAAAGCCTCCACACTGAAGGCATATTTGTTACAATGGAGGGTTACGTTTCACTCTAACATTGCCTTAGACAAGGAAGAAAGTGCCAAGAATTATTAATTTGCCTGCAACTGTACTTCAGTTCATGTTGAGAACTTCATTAAGGTAAGAGAATGGTTTTCACAATATCTGTCACAATTATTCAGGTTCCCATCCTATATATCAATTCTACTCACCAATAATCAAATCACCAGACAGAGAAAAGGGAGGGGATAAAAAATCCATATCTAATTTTTATGCCCTTCAAGAAATCTGCCTTCCTTCCTGTTTGCTACCAACTGAAATTGACAGGCTAACCTAGAATTAAATCAAAGTAGTAATCACTCAAGGAATGAAACCAACCACCTTCCTCATAAAGGAATGCTCAGGGAAGAAAGTAATCATTTCACTTTGTTAGAGAAAATGTCTTTCTTATGAGGTGTAGCCATCCGGTAGAGATATTTGATGACCTTTAAAAATTACACTTCTATCAGTGGCACCTTAGGTAGATGACATCTACTATGAAGAAAGAGACAATATTTGATGATTTAGACAATTTATCTAAAAATCTGTTTCCATACAATAGCTTTAGAGAGGTTTCAACATAAGATCAATAATGAATCTTGAGATAAGTCATTGAATTCTATGAAAGTTGGATAACTAAAATAAATTCTATTCCTGCTTGGTCAACTTACTGGGCATGAGCATCATTTTGATTGACAAGAGAATACACCCAAAATCTAAGCTGAAATCTCTTTTCCTTTAGTTTAGAAATCAACCCTGTAAGGAAGTCTGAGGAGATTCCTTGTAGGACAAAAAACTTTAAGTTTTTATGAAGAGATTAAGTGCAAGGACATGGTCAATGTATTGATGATTCGACTATGTAAATATGCTGGAAAATCACTCAGATAACTATATACATGAATTCAAGCTAACAAAGTTACCATATGACACCAAAAGAGATGTCTGTAGAAATCCAGGGTAATAATTTTTTTTACCTGGTTACTAAGTAAAGACATGAGAAAATAATGCTTTTTTGGAAAGCAAACCTAAAGAATAAACAATTATACTAGAATTGCTAACAAATTTGATTATGTAAAAGAAACAATAAAAATCTGTAGTGGCACAGATTTGTGGAATCAGAGACCAATTTCCAAAGATTATCTGTTGTCTATGTCAGAGAAGATCCAGTTTTGCAGTAAAAACTCCTAGTTTCTTTTTATCTAAATGGATTTGCATCTGATTTGCTTCTTTCCTATATGCAGTGCTTTAGAAACTCCCCTCCCCCCACTTTCTTATTGATAAACCATCAGATGAGCCAATATGGAACTGCATATCACTTTCCAGGTAATGATTATCACACACAGAGTCTGAGGAATATCACTCAGACTGGGACCAGAGTATGCCCTGCCACCAGTGTGACATCTGGTATATCTCCACCCTTTATGTCCTTTGCACAACCAGACCCAGAAGTATTGGCCACAAGGGCCAAACAGATAAATCCTAGAATTTAGAGTACATTTGTGGGCTAGATTGCTTGAGGTAAGTAAAAACTTTGCCTAAGGATCCTGATTCCTATACAGAGTTTTTACAATTCCTTGAAAAGAACCACATATTCAAGCTATAGTTTTGTAGGGATAGCCTTCAGAGTCTGTGTCAAGAGGCCTGGGAAAGAGATGAACCCCAGGAATCTGCCTTCATAAAAAGCCCCCTATTAGGGCCTCCCCTGGTGGCGCAGGTGGTTGAGCGCCGCACTGTGAGGCTGTCAGCAGCCTGCAGTGCCGTTTTGATCCCGGCCAGCTGGCGAGGGTCCCACATGGCAAGGCAGACCTCTCCTGTCTCGCCCACAGCTCCCCTCAGCAGTGTATTTTGTCAGTCTGCCTGTTCTGTTCCCCGCTCTGTCTCTGGTGAATCCTCTCACCCTCCCGCACATCTGGCCTGTACCCCGGTTCTTGTATAAAATAAATAAATAAATCTTTAAACAAAAAAAAAAAAAGCCCCCGATTAGCATCAGACCCCTGGGAAGCAGAGTCCTGATAGCTGAAAGTGCCAGAAGATTATTGCTAGTCTTGCAATCCCCAAACCTGGCTGCACATTTAGAATCGCCTGCAGGATCTGTGCCCCCTGCCTGAAGGCTTACGGGATGAAAATTGCTGGCAGTAGGAGCTGGGACTTTATGTTTTTACATTCCCACACTGGCCGCATATGAGAATAATCTGGGGAACATTTGAACATACCAATATCCAAGACCTATCCAGTAGAAATTTAATCAGAACCTCTGGAAAAGGAGCAGCTTATGAAAGCTCCCTAGGTGATTCTGATGAAATCAGACCACAGCTCAGCATATGGGAACCACCGAGTTAAAATGTATATGATCAAGCTGAGGTCATCAGGTTTTAATCTTTGTTCAACAAACCAGAGTTACACGGAACAACTATCCACAGTGGCAGACACTGCTGAGCTGGTTCATTTGCTCATTTAGTGTCCCAGACTATTCCCTGTGCATTGCTTTAAGTTCAACTACTTTTTCAGAGTTCTTTAAAAAGTTTGTGAAACACACATCAGATTAAGAAGTTTGCCTTCATCTTGAGAATAGGAAGGCTGTGAGCCCAGAAAGGCTGTTCAGTCTGCCTGCCAGTCAAGGATTTTCATAGAGCTTCAAAGAAGTTCTAACCACATGATGACATTGTTGCCCAGGAGTGTGGAATCTCTATCCTAGCAAATGGAAATTCTGTAGCCAGAGCCATTACATTTTCACAAGTTTTTCTTGATTTTGGTTGGCACATGGAAAGTACTGAATAAATATCTGTTGAATAACTAACTGAATTTCTATTACCATAGCTAAAACTATAAATAACCTTTTGTCTCACTACGGATTTTCCTCCAGTCTCTGAAGGAATTGCCAGTACAGTCATCATCATAAAGTGTGATACCACAAACCGTTGGAATTAGTAGCAAAATTACTTTAATTTTTAACATGGGGTGAATAAACTCTGCTTAGATATTTAGATAGACAGGAACTGCCAGAAGAAAGGGGGCTCCAACACTGGCATCTCCCCATCTGTAGCAGGCATACTAATGGTCCCCCAACAATGACCAAATCCTAATCCTTAAAATTTGTGAATATATTACCTTACCTGGCAAAGGGGTACTTGTGATTAAGAATTAAGAATTGGGGAAATATCCTGAGTTATCTAAGTGGTTTCTAGGTAATTACAACACCCAGTTAGAGACGGAAGCAGAAGATAGAAGGTCAGAGGCAAAGAGAGAAAGGTTTCAAAATCTGTGCTGCCGACTCTAAAGATAGAGAAGGGGTCATAAGCCAAGAAGTACAGGCAGCCTCTGGAATCTGGGAAAAGCAAGGAAATGGATTCTCTCCTAGAGTCTGCTGACACCTTGATTTTAGCACCGTAAAACACATTTGATCTCCAGAACTGTAAGATAACAAATTGTTTCCTTTTAAGCCGCTAAGTTTGGGTGCTAACTTGTTGCAGCAACAACTGGAAATCGATGCATCACATACTATTACCAGGAT